AAAAAAAAAAAAAAAAAGAAATATATTCGTTTAAAATGTGCCGTTTGAAGAGGCTTGCCAAATGGACCCATCACCACAATCAAGATACAGAACACTTCCATGAGTCCCAAAGGTTCTCGGGTGCCCCTTCCAGGGTAACCAGTTAATCCCCATTCCTCCACACCTTTCAGCTCAGGTGGCCACTGAGTTTATTTCTGTCACTATAGATGAGATTTTTATCTTTCTGAAAGTTTCATATAAACAGAATCATACAGTATGTATTCTTTTGTGTCTAGTTTCTTTAGCTTAGCACAATCTTGGATTCAGTTCCAAGATTTAAGAAACATTTACTACCCCATAAAAAATTATTTACTCAGCTATACAAATAAATTCCTTTTCATTTGATATTTGAGAATATTTTTAAAGCCTGAGTAGTTATTGATTGATTAGTTTTCTTTAAATAATTGCTAACTTTCTCTTTTACCTTATGCCTTATAGAACTGCCTCCTTACTGGTGAACTTTTTGGAAACTAATTATTAGTTAAATAAGACAATTTTAATTTATTAAGTTGATCATTTTAAAGGGTTTGCTTTTTTCTTTTTTCTTGTTTTAAAAGATAAGCCTTCTAGTATCAACACATGTCAAGTGACTTGAACATGCAGGGTTAGTTTATTTATTTTTTATTCATTTTGTTTTATTTTTTGAGACAGAGTCTTGCTATGTTGCCAAGGCTGGAATCCAATTGCACAATCTCGGCTCATAGCAACCTCTGCCTCCTGGGTTCCAGTGATTCTCCTGCCTCAGCCTCCCAAGTAGCTGGGACTACAGGCACGTGCCACCACCCTCGGCTAATTTTTGTATTTTTAGTAGAGACAGGGTTTCACCATGTTGGCCAGGCTGGTCTCAAACTCCTGACCTCAAGTGATCCACCCGCTTTGGCTTCCAAAAGTGCTGGGATTACAGGTGTGAGCCACTGCACCCGGCAAGGGTTATTTTAAGGTTCATTTCCCGAGACTCCAGAAGATGGCACTCTTACAAAGCCTAAAGAAATAAAGCTTTGGCACCCTATGGCTGTTTTTCTAGGCGGTTCCTTCCTGCTGTGACCCATTTGCAAAGCCATTTGTTTGGGAGAATAAAATTTTTATTTTTTTCTGATTATCAGAGTCATATATGCTGTTTGTTAAACATTTTAATGAAGGTATTCTTCAAACCCCTTGCTAATCCCCAACAGATAACTACTATAACAGTTTAGTATATACACAATATTTTCCAGACCTTCCATCAGCTTATACACACAACATATGCATATAAAAGTAAAAATTTAAATTTGTTAAATTTTAGATTTTAGGATAATCATAAACTATATTCTCGTCTTTTGCCATAGGATTCTTTATTCAGGTTTTTTCTTATCAGTTCTTTTCTTTAAAGACAGACCTTCCACTTCTGCAATTCATTATTTGCTGAGTCTGAAGGGACATCTCACATCTGTGTTGATTTAGGGCTTGTGGTCTAGTGAATGAGGGCTAGACTCTCATCATAAGGATGTTGGTATGGTTTCAAAGTTTTTGTCCCCCTAAATTTGTATGTTGAGACCTAATCACCAATGTCCGGGTATTAGGAGGTAGGGCCTTTAAGAGTGGATTAGGTCATGAGGGTGGAGCCCTGGTGAAGGGGATTATTGTCCTTATAAATGAGGCCCCAGGGAGTTGCTTTGCCCCTTCTGCCATGTGAGGATATGTCGAGAAGAAGCTGTGTATGATCCAGAAAGTGGGCCCTTATCAGACACTGAAGCTGCCTCCAGAACTATGAGAAATGTTTCTCTCTCTCTCTTTTTTTTTTTTGGAGAAGGAGTCTCTCTGTCACCCAGGCTGGAGTGCAGTGGTGAGATCTTGCCTCACTGCAACCTCTGCATCCCAGGTTCAAGTGATTCTCCTGCCTCAGCCTCCCCAGTAGCTGGGACTACAGGTGTGCACCACCATGCCAGGTTAATTTTTGTATTTTTCGTAGAGACAGGGTTTCACCATGCTGGCGAGGCTGGTCTTGAACTCCTGATTATTAGTTAAATAAGACAATTTTAGTTTATTAAGTTGCTCATTTTAAAAGGTTTCCTTTTTTTCTTCTTTCTTGTTTTAAAAGAGAAACCTTCCAGTATCAACACGTCGCAAGTGACTTGAACACGCAGGGTTAATTCGTTTATTTATTTATTTATTGTTTTATGTTTTGAGACAGAGCCTCACTCTGTTGCCAGGCTGGAGTGCAGTGATGCAATCTCACCTCAGTGCAACCTCTGCCTCCTGGGTTTAAGTGATTCTCTTGCCTCAGCCTCCTGAGTAGCTGAGACTACAGGTTATAGCCTCCCCGAGTAGCTGTGATCTGCCAGCCTTGGCCTCCCAAAGTGCTGGGATTACAGGTGTCAGCCACTGCGCCCAGCCAGTTTCTCTCAGTTTTAAGCCACCCAGTCCGAGGTATTTTGTTCTAGCAGCCTGAAGGGACTGATAGATGCTGTGCTAGTTGCATTTCTTGTCAGTGAGAATAAGGCGACATGAACTTACATAATTAGAAATGTAATGCTTCCTTTGTTGAGTGAAGACTTATAGGATATTTTGGCTGAGACAGTATCAGAAAAGGACTGTTATTTGGGTCTTTCTGGCTGTGCCATGAAATCCTAGCCATTGGAGCTTCAGTGCGAAATTTTGTGAAATCACGATTTTTTTTCCAGATAGTTTTTGCCCCCATGATATAACCTTACCAGTAGCTGACATCCCTCAGAGAGTACAATCCAGGAAGCCATGGAAGGACTGAAAGGCTTTCGTGACCTATCTTTGGAGGGCGTATACCATCACTTCTTTAATAAATCTGCTCCTTGTTCATTGTGGGAGGTGATTACACAAGGGAATGAAGACCAGGAGGCAGGGATCACTGGAGCCATCCTGGAGGCTGCCACAGAAGTCACCAATGTGTAGATGGTATTAAAACCATGGGATTGGCAGGGCGCGGTGGCTCACGCCTGTAATCCCAGCACTTTGGGAGGCCGAGGCGGGTGGATCACGAGGTCAAGAGATCGAGACCATCCTGGTCAACATGGTGAAACCCCGTCTCTACTAAAAATACAAATAATTAGCTGGGCACGGTGACGCGTGCCTGTAATCCCAGCTACTCAGGAGGCTGGGGCAGGAGAATTGCCTGAACCCAGGAGGCGGAGGTTGCAGTGAGCCGAGATCGTGCCATTGCACTCCAGCCTGGGTAACAAGAGTGAAACTCCGTCTCAGAAAAAAAAAAAACAACAAAAAACAAACAAAAAAACCCATGGGATTAGATTGGGGAGGAGAGGCTGGGGAGAGATTTGATGAGTTACCTGGGAATGGAGTGTAGAGAGAAGACAAGAGGATTGAGCCAACATTCAGTCACAGAGAGAAGTCTGAGGAAAAGCTGCTTATGGAGTGATGCCTCTGGGAGCTTTGTGGAAGAAGGGAATGCTGAGAAACTACGGTACTAGCTAATAAGTGACCCCTGCATTTATACTTGTGCAAAATCCTTTCTCCTTTGGGTCTCACACCATTCTGATGTAAGGAAAACAGATGTTATTTAAAACAGTAACTATTTGCAGGCACTTTTGAGCACTGGGGAAGTAAAATCCTTTATTTATTACTTGGGGACTGTGGAGCTTGTTCAGTGACCTTGATAATCCTTTTGAGTCTGTAAGGTAAAGTCACCCTAGAATGCGTGCTGAAAGGTGAGGGCTAAACCAAGAGAGCTGAGTGTATAATGAAGTGAGATAAGTGGAGGATCTGAAACTGTTAAAGAATCTTTTTCTCTTTTCTTTTTTTTGAGACAGGGTCTTACTCTGTTGCCCAGGCTGGAGTGCAGTGGCATGATAACAGCTCACTGCATTTTTGACCTTCCCAGGCTCAGGTAACCTTCACACCTCAGCCTCTCAAGTAGCTGTGCACCCCTACACCCGGCTAATTTTTTTTTTTTTTTTTTGGTAGAGACAGGGTTTTGCCATGTTGTCCAGGCTGGTCTTGAACTCCTGGGCCCGAGCAGTCTGCCTATGTCGGCCTCCCAAAGTGTTGAGATTACCGACGTGAGCCATTGCATCTGGCCATATAAATAATATTAAAAGGAAAAGCTGCATACTGAAGCAAATCAGCTTAAGTTGGATGACTAGCCATTGGCTTTTGGACTCAGCTCTGGAATTCCTCCAGTCTAGCACAACCCTCCCTCTCCCCCTGCTCCTTTGACACGCCTTGCTCACCACATCTCCTTGTTTCTTCATCCCATTTTGGTTGCATACAGTAAATAACAATAAAACAAAAATGTTGAGTACTTTCTAGATGCCAATACATTGCGGGTTCCTAGTGCTTTAGGTACACTACCTCATTTCATCTTCACAAAACCCGTGCCATGAAGCAGGTGCAGCCATTGCTGACATTTCCACTTTAAAAAACTGAGGAACATATTACTTGTTATTAAGCAGCAGAGCCAGAAATTGATCCCAGTGTGATGTTAGAGCCCAGGCTTTTAATCATTAAATTTTGCCCGTTTTCCTTTTAGAGTTTGGAATTTGGCAACCTATGTTGAGCCACCATCTATTCAGTCTTAGACTTTGGCTGCCATTTCCCTAATGCAGAACATGATTTCTGTTATTGACTTGTGACTCTGACCTGTCCCAATAATGACCCCACCCTGGACCTCACTGCTGCCAGGGAGATCAGAGCAATGTTTGTACACACACTCTGTCTTTTCATATGTTATCTGCCCTGTTCCCTTTCTCCCTTGTCTGCCTGGATGATTTCTATGTGTAGTATTTTATTGCCCTTCCTGGAAAATTGTTCATTTCTCCCTCCATGTGTCCTTTGAACTTCTATTCAACCAATCTCACTGTAAACCATTCCTGGTAAATGTTTATCTCTGGGCCGGGCGCGGTGGCTCAAGCCTGTAATCCCAGCACTTTGGGAGGCCGAGGCGGGTGGATCACGAGGTCAAGAGATCGAGACCATCCTGGCCAACATGGTGAAACCCCGTCTCTACTAA